TTGTTGGACAAAGCGTGTTTACTTTTGACCAGAGAAAGTGTTTTAATTGAAATGATTTGGTAACAAGAAATCCCAAAGGACAGTTGAAATTACAAACTAATGAACAATTTCTGGAAGAAGGAAAAACAAAGTCCAAGAAAAAAAAAATTCTCTTAAGAAAAAAAAAAAAAATCTCCAGAGAATATTCAACACCTGTATTATATATTTATCTACTTAATAAATATTCCTACTTTTTTTTTTCTCTTTCTAGCAAACAAATTCTAAATAGTCATAGGTGAAAAACAAAGACCTAGAGAATTCTTGACACAAGCCATTCCCAGGCATATCTTCTCATCAAAACGTCGGAAGTAAAACAAGGAAACAACTTTAGATGAAGGATTTTTATAGGGTTAACCTTTACGAAAATATTTAGAAGTATAATCCATCCCCTGCCCCCAAGAGGACGGAAGAAAAAAAAAACAAAACAAAAAACAAACCGTACCTCCATTTTGGCAATATTTGCCTGTTTTCTTTATGTCTTTTGTGTGTTTTATTGATTTTATGCTTCGGTTTAAGATGAAGAAGATCACCAGAAAATGACAAGCGGGTCATAAGGAAGTGCTCTATTAAATAGAGAAAAGGTCTTTGCGCTGTTTCTAAGTACAGAACAATCAGCTTGAGTTATTCAATGACATTTTTGACAGCGAATAGAAAAATAAGCGAGGCGTTAATAAAAGCCCAATATTCTTTGGCTAGCGTTTATTACTTCTTGAAAAGAAACAAAGAAAAAACAGATAAATGCCAGAAGTAAGAGGTTTGGGACAGGTTTCATATCTACTCCCGAGATCAGGTACGTTGATATTTACTAAGTTTAGCCAGTACAGCGCATTTTCCAGCATCCATTGAGGATCGATCTTACAATTCGGTACTATCATTTTGAATGACTAGCTTGCTGCACTGTTTCATAGCAAGGCGACTAACGATAATTCTTTTCTTCTTCTTTCTATCATGCCCCTTCAGAGCTTGAGCGATCATGGCCCTCCACAACTTACTTTGTAGCCGTTAGCAATATTTGTCTCTTTACTGTCTCTCCAACTCTTTGTTCTGTCATCCATTTACATAAGCTAGTTAAATCGTTAAATCGTTAGGTTACTCGCTATTTCCTTATGTTCCTCTTGCTTTCAATGTCCTGTAAGTATCAAATTCTCCAAGCCTTCTTTCCTAATTTTTGTCCCAGTAAATTTAAACTATCTCTTTAATTTTAAGTATAAGCGTCCTTTTTGTTGCCATGATCATTGAAACTTCCTGATATTCTCAGTATCCTTCTGTAGAACAACATTTGTGTTTCCCGCAATCTCTTTTTCTCCATGAGGAGATTTTCCATCATTCCCTGTCATATAGGACGAGTGTTATTAAGTAGCAGTTCAGCACATCTTTCCATGTCTCTAACGACATTTTCCTGTTTCCTAATACTTTACTTAGCTTTTGTAAGTCATATGTGGCTATTCCAATGCGCCTTCGGATTTTACATCGACTTCATTGCTTACGCTAACCCAATGCAAAAGATCCTGACGATATTATTATTATTATCATCAGCTTAGTTTTCTGCCGAACAAAGTCACAATTTCACAAATTTGGAGAATCCAGTGAGGATTGAGCCCATTTTAGTATTTAAGCCATACGGAACTACCTTGTTAAAGTATCCATGTTGATATTTACGTAGGTTGATCAGAATGAGGAAAAAGCGTTTTAGAAGTGTGTGTTATGCCAACCTCTTAAGTGGTGGAGAGAATCATTATTCGAGTTCCTGCCTTTTTTTAAAATCTCGGGCCTCGACTTTTGGCACTCGTGGGAAACCGTATTTCAAACTCTAGGTCTGGCATGTTAGCCCATTTTAATTTTAGGTCTGACGTAAGTATCATTCCGTTGGGAATTTTGCCTGTTTTTCTAAAGACGAAGTTTACTTTCATCCATAACAATTTATTTATTTATTTTTTTGTTTTTAAAAATTCCGCTTTGTAAAGCTAATGTGACGTCACATTAGTTGTTAGTGTTCTATGCGAACTCTTTGCGTTTCGAGTCAAAGCCCCGGCATGTTTTCTTCAGTGGCTCAGTTTCCTTCTCATCCGACGGAAGATGTTTTCTGTGAATTTCATTAAAGCAAATACGATTTCTATTTTCTTTCCGTGGTTTATCATTATCGTTTGCAGAAGTCTTCTGGAATAACTATTAACAGTATAACGTTACATCAATTGCTTTCTTATTAAAGATATTACAGTTACACGGGAATCTGCCATTATAACAAAATGTTTGTTCCAAATACTAATAGGCTGTCAAGAAATTTCCGCACGATAAAAATTACGAAAGTAAAGCAAACAGAACTTGAATACCATATATTTCCGTGTATAAGACGACCTTTAAACCTCCAAAATTAGGGGTCGTCTTATATTACAATTCTAAAACAGAAACCTTAAATTCTGAGTGATGTTTTTCGTTATTCTAACTTCGGCCTGGGTGCAATAACTAATAACGTACATGAAAAGATTCACATTATCAAATAAACTGATAATAAAAGTAATAAAACCATTTCTACCTTATATATTACTAGCATGACTTCATAATAAATTGCCTATTTGAAGAATAATTCCGTATCAATGAAATCAACTTGTATCCATGCAAGCTCAGCTGAGAAAATGTAAACATCGAGTTATGATGACGTTCACAGCAATGGAATGTACTATTATCGTATTATTATATTTTGTGATTGTCGATGAAGTATAAGTAAATGGCAATTAGTAAGTACACCAGGCTGTTTGTAGCCGTTTAGATATAGAGAAAAGAAGAAGAATCACTATTCGCAAGAGATCACGTGATGAAGCGTAAACAAAACAATGGTTTCCCTTTTAGGGGACGTGCGTAGGAAAAACATGATATCGAATCAGTTTTGTTATTTCGTTTCTTTTGAATTTCTAAGGATACAGTGTGTAAAACATTTCCAATAACATCATCATTATATAATCAATAAGCAATCGTCTTATACTATACATATAGGATAAATTCATGAAAATTTACTATATTTTTTTGAATTCGTCTTATCTAAAGGTTGCCATATACACGGAAATATACGGTAAATATTTAATGACAGTAATGTAAGCTGTGGATAGATATCTTAGCACAGTAATTCTCAGCCGCCGTGTCGCGCGATCCTCTTAAATATGTCGCGAAATATTGTCATGGCCTATATATATTTCAATACGAAAGTATTTCAATACAAAATGAATATCCCACATTAGCTAAAAAGGCTTTACCAGTTTTATTGCAATTTTCTACTTCTTATTTATGTGAATTATTCTTTTTGTTACAGACAGTTGTTTGCCCTCCAAAAGAAAATTCTGATTTGGGAAAATAGAGCAAGTTCGGGTAATTTTGATATTTTTCCTTCAATGCGTCCTACCTGCCTTAAAGAAATGATCCCTATTATGGTTACCCATCTGAAAACGCTCAGCGAAAACATCGACTATTATTTTCCGTCATTGAACACAGAAAAGTATGATTGGATTCGAAATCCATTCATAAATGTTTCTTTTAATATTGGACTTCAATTATGTGAAGAAGAAGAACTGGCCATAATTTCTAGAGATCGTAAGCTCAAAATAAAACATCCTCATTTATACATTTTAGATTTCAATACAAAGGGAACATCCCACATTAGCTAAAAAGGCGTTTTCAGTTTTATAGCAATTTTCTACTTCTTATTTATGTGAATTAGGCTTGTCAACCCTAAATAACATCAAAAATTAAAAGCGACAAAGACTACACTCAAGTGAAGAAGAAATCGGGGTCTGCTTATCGCACATCCGACCAAACATGAAAGAAATCATGAAAAACATTAGACACAGGTTTCGCACTAAATAAGTTGCACAAATAGTTGAATAGAAAATAAAGTGAGTTCATATTTGCGTGTATATTTTTTTTAACTATAGTTTTATTTCATAACATGCAAAAGATCCTAATGATATTATTATTATTATCATCAGCTTAGTTTTCTGCCGAACAAAGTCACAAATTTGGAGAATCCAGTGAGGATTGAGCCCACTTTAGTATTTAAGCCATACGAAACTACCTTGTTAAAGTATCCATATTGATATTTACGTAGGTTGATCAGAATGAGGAAAAAGCGTTTTAGAAGTGTGTGTTATGCCAACCTCTCAAGTCGTAGAGAGCTTGCCTACCTTGAGAATCATTATTCGGGTTCCTGCTTTTTTTTAAATCTCGGGCCTCGACTTCTGGCACTCGTGGGAAACTGTATTTCAAACTCTAGGTCTGAAATGTCAAGTAGTAGTATATGTATACCCTTTATAAATTTTGCTAAGGTGCCGTGATATTTTCATTTGCTTCTAGTTGAGTCGTTACTTAAAAAGGTTGAGAAAGACCGGCTTAGCAGTCATCGTCTCAAAAATCTGCATCGTTGAGGACCAGAATTCAAATTTCAGCCTATTTTTTAAAAACTTCACTTTAACACTGAAGAAAGGCATGAACCCATTTTCAACAATCCACTTCTAAACTATGTGTTAGACACCAGGATAAACTGAGTTCTTTAACGTTGGATCGCGGTTAGATTATGAGAAAGACAACTATGAAATCAAAACTACGGAATTGGCAACGAGGAAACCCTCTCTTACATTACACGAGAAGTTATAATAATTCACAGATAATATTAAAGAAAAGGAATCTGTAAAGACCTACGATTTATTTTTCTTTTTTTACGGTTTATCAAACTTTGCCGGTTATGTATAATCAGAAAATATTCTTAGATTGTAAGAACGTTTGGAGATAAAATGATTTATTGATAAAGTCCTACTAATTAATCCATAGCTGGAGGGCCAGAGAAGAAGTAGATTCATCACTTTCCCAAGGGTATTTGCGCGTAAGTGAATATAACGAACCCAACTGGAATTGGAACTCAGCTCTCCGATTTCGAATTCCGAGCCATTATCCATTGGTCTAACAATATATGGAAGCTTACAGCACTTGGTATTCCCAAACGGTCACCCATCTCTGTACTGACCAGGCCCGATGTTGCTTAACTTCGGTGATCGTATGAGGATCGGTATTTCAATATAATATGGTCGTAAACTTGACACCAATGCTGAACTATGCACTGAAAGGACATCGCATTAAAAATTAGTTGTCATTTTGGCGTACCGTAAGAGCAAGAATTTCAATAACAATAGATAAAATAAATAACTCCATATTAAACATTGACGATTGGTTAAGCTATCTCGTTGACCGTTAATGCTGTGTGCTGTGAGTCCTCACTCGGTGTCAGATTAATGGAACTTAGGAAACCTATTCTCATTAGGTTGAATTATGTAGATAGCTATTATATATTTTACTAGTAGATGAATGAAATCTCTTATATTAATGGTAATGATAATATTAGCCGTTTCCCTATAAGAAAACATTTGGCATTCATTGACTGAGCAGTCAGTACTGCTTTCGCTTGAATTTTATAAAATCTTTTTCTTAAAACAATTTTTCGGAAAAATAGCTTTTAGTATCTTTCTCCATAGGGAATCTTATATTGAAGTGTTTTTTAAAAAATCCAGTTTAAATGACTTAATCTTGTGTGACTTCAAATTGTTTCCACCGAACATGAGAATGTTTGAATTAACCGTAAACATATACAGAACAAAATCCTTGACAAAGAATGTAGCAATATTCTAAAGTTCTCAGGCAAAAATAACATAAAATAAACTGTTGTGGTGTCCTCCCTCTAAGAGTCTATGTTAGACTCTTCCGCCTACTATAAGTTTAGTAGGAGAGGAGAAACAGTGAACTGTGAATAGATTGAGCGCTAATTCTTTCGATACACTCTCAGTAGTCATGCAATACTCTTCTGGTGTACTTACTGTTTAATATACGATATATCTGCAAACTTGGTTTTTGCTATTATTTAACCATTTACTTGGTCACAACATAACCATAAATATGAATTTTGGCAAATTTACCAATTGCATAAAATAACTAATTCGAAAATTTTTAAAATTTAAAAAAATATTTGATAGAACTTCATATTCAACCAAACATATTTGAATATATATATATATATATATATATATATATATATATATATATATATATATATATATATATATATGAAAGTGAGAGAGAGACAGTGATGGCTATGAGACGGGAAACGGTCAGTCACAATGCTGTGTTTATTTCTATGTCTACACTGTCTATACCCACAAACTCAAGTCCAGTAGTTGTTATTGCTCTTTCCAATATTGGTGGGAGTTTCCATACTAATCTTTTATTTGAAGTAGTGTGGAATTTCAGCATCTTGATTGTACCATTATTTTTTCTTCGAGATGTTGCTGTTCTTGTTAGTTCTCAAGTTATGTGGTTTCAATTATTTGGTACAGTTCGTTGTTTGTAAATCGTCAGTCCACAATGTTCAAAGAAGGATGACCTTTGTCAAGACTCCCAGACTTCACTCGCTCAAAGACATTTTTAATAATTGAACAAAGAACGAAAGTGGTTGCATACATCTTAGATATTTTTGAAAGGGTTTGGCACGGTGTGAGACAGCCATATGTAAATCTTGATTTGATGAGGATAGACTTATCTTAAAAGTGCGTCAAGTGAAGTAAATGTTACGCGGATGGAAACGCAGAGACTGCTGCTTCAATACCCTATGTGCGGACGAGGAGACCATTTTTAATTTGAAAATCTGCCTTTGAGCTCTTGGCTCTTAATTGATTCTAATAATATTTAACAAATAAACATTGGCGTAGTTTCCCATTTCCTTCTTTATAGGTCTATATTTAGAGTGATCCTTCTCTTACTGGCTATCATCCAAGGCTAAAGAGTTTTCTCTACCTTGTTATTTAATTCATAGCTTGGGGAGAGAATGGATTGATTTGTGCTTTCTACAAGAGTATTAGTGCGAAGATGAACGCAAAAGACATGACTGCAAATCGAAGTTGACTTATCAATTCCACTTTTTGAGTCAATAACCATTACCCTACCTGTATATCCGCTTGAAAATGTGCGTAATGTCCGAAAAAAGAAAGAATAATGATGCTATGAAATATGAATGAAAGATTTTGCTGATGAATTCTCGAAACATTTTCACTAACCTGATATCCTGTGTAGCTGCCATAGAGTTAGAAAGTTATTCGAAGGCAAATTATGTTGTCCTGTGTGTTCGCTTCACAAGAAGTCCATTTATCCTCTTCTTTAGGCCGAATGCCCGTTGGTGTCCAAAGCATTCTGGATAATCGCTCTCCTGTGGGATTATCCATAATTGTTAAAAATCTATTTTGTTTTTTGTTTTACGGGCATAGTATCGCCATCCCACATCTAACCATGTTTATACAGCTTGCTAATCCTTGAGTTCGATTCACAAGAAGTCCATTTACCCACTTCTTTAGGCCGAATGCACGTTGGTGTCAACACTAATCTGGATTGGTTACCAACCCCAGATAGAGAGCTCAATCTACTTTTCTATTTTACCCATATTTTTATGGGGTAGAAGAGATGAATTCATTCCTTTGCAGAGGTTATTTGTGCGAAAGTGTGTGTAATGAATTCGACTGAAATTTGAACCCCGCTTACTGATTTCTCGTTTCAAGCCGCTAACCATTAACCTACCTGCCCACGAAGTACCTCACAAATTTAACTCCGTGACAGACTAAGATAAATTTAGTAAACATAGGGTTCTAGAAGTTATTGTATATATATGGTAGGCAGAAAATAAACAGCCTTGACATCTCGTATCAGATTTAACGTAAAGTTTACTAGTTAGACTTGAAATCACAATGTCTGTTTTGTTACTGAAGGAACAAGACTTGCAAATAGTAAAGTCTCGAATGTAGCTAACTTTACGGAATTCGCTGACTTCCGTTTGTAAATTAAACACTGTCAAAAGTAGGGGTCCCTGGGTGAGTGCCCTGGAGATAAATCACTGTTAAAACCCAGGGAAGCATAAGCTGGTTTAAAAGTATAGAAAGCTCACGAAATGTGTATTCTTCCATGAATACAATGCTCCCGTTGATATGACAATGGCCACTAAGACTGTACCATACGACCGAAACTTTGAATCCGACAACTGCTTTCTTTATTCTCCGACTAATTTAGTGACGTCTTCATTAACAGTGAAAAAAATCTTCGATTTTGTGCGTATTATGCAAAGGATAATGGCATCATTTTTGCTGCTGAAATTTCCTACTTCCGGGAGGAAAGAAACTCTTGCAGAAATAATTGTACTGACCTCAAAATTGTACAATGTCGAGGAATATTTGCTAATCACTCTCAAGGTCGAATTAAAGGAATTAGGCTAGGAACTTTTTTAATCAAATCTCATATAATATTTCTCTATTTATTGAAATTCTTGCGTCGAATTTTGCCAACTTCTCTTCACGCTGATTAGGTCGCTGTTGGACTGATTGCATCGTTGTAACAATTACAACAAACGTAAAAAGCAATAAAGAAGGCATTCAATTACGGCAATGCAAATTAGGCGGAAATTTTGCTTTAATATAACAAATTTTATGGCAATTTTCTAGGAAACATTCTTCTTGCAGTTTCAGATTCATTAATTTAAGAGACGGTTTATGTTTTTTTTATATTTTATATAATTTATTTGTTATATCGAATAACGTTGAACTTTTAATTCGATTTATAAACCGCATGAACGACTCGCCGTCAAGTAATGGTTAGCTCACTATTCTTATAGGCTGCTTTTGTGCAATCATTCCTTAATGGATGACTCACACATCTGATGCTCGACCAGACTTGTCTAAGCTTAGTAATTACTGAAAAGGGCGATTCTCTATGAGCTAATATATAATGAGTTCGACAATCATTACATCTGTGCAGTGTATTCAATCCTCACTGGGTGCTCAGTATTGAATACCTTGTGCCAGACTTGTGAAAGCTTAGTAAATATTTATTTATATGTAAAAAAAAACGTTCACACACATAAACAAACTTTAATTAATGTGTTCGTTGTAGGGGCACCACATGTTCTGGAGCATGTGATATGTCTATGGCAAGACAGCCTGGAAGAGCCCAAACCTCTCCAGGCTGGTTTTGAATTCAGGATTTTTCCTTCTCCTAGACCGCTTGCCAACCAAGGCAACCAGTCTGTCAAGACAGACCAAATTTGTCCTGCTATTTACTCCTAGCTGGGATGGTGGAGAAGGTGGTGGATTCATACATTTCCCAATGGTATTAGACCGGAAGTGAATGCAGTGAACTCAACTGGAATCCGAACTCTGCTTCAAATGACTGAATTTTGAATTCAGAGTTTCTCTGGTTGCCACATACGGCTAGTGAGCCCGGTTTGCCCTGTTATTTAACACACAGATGGTGCGAAAATGAGTGTAATGAACTCTACCGGGATTCGAACTTGGCTTGCCGATTTTTCTTCCAGACTCAGACGTATCCACTGAGCACCTCCCAAATATTCGAACCTCGGGATTTTCTAAGTGTAGCTTAGATGTGGCACAAGGCCGAATGTATGGGGGCACCCAGTGAAGATCGATCTCCAATGATTTTCTAGACGTAGCTTAGATGTGGCAAAGGCTGAAATTGTGGCGCACCCATTGAGGATCGATTCGTGACAGACTAAGATAAGCTTAGTAAACAATGAGTTCTAGAAGTTATAGTATCTAAATAATATACAAAAAATAAATATATATGAATACTCTTTGAAAGGTTTGACTCTTCAAATAAAGACCAGTATAATTTTTAACACGGAGTTTAGCAGACTTGAAATCATAATGTTTGTTTTGAGTTTTTACTAGTTGCTCTATCGTTATGATCTTATGTCAGATTTGGCCAAGCTTCTTAAAGAATTAAACAAAAAATTCATTTTTATGGTTGCAATGAAAAAATGAATATGGTAATATCGCAAAACATTGCCAGCGAGTTTGATGAGGTAGTCTAATTCAGTTTGACGGGGTATGCTAATTTTGGCCTTGTGCCAGAGTAGGCTAAATTATTAATTAATAAATAATTTATCTCTAAGTTTTACTGCTTTACTCATGGTCTAACCTAGGGCGCCAAAAAAAGAACAATTTAGGAAATAAAAATTGAGGTTTCATTCACTTAAGTAAAGCGTTGT